CGAGACGTAACTGAGAAAACTCATACTTCATTTTTCCAGTCTCTACATCATTTGTCCCTGAACATTTACACTGCATGCGAAGATATGTGGCTTTCCCTGTTTGAGGTGAATCATCACTATTTGCAGTATCACACTTCCCCCTTTATGGCCTTATGTAATACAAATTGTAGGCCAGATGTTAACAGAACAGCCAGTTATATTGTCATATCCTAATATGTTTTTTTATATCCCTATAATCAGACTGTTAAGTGTTTATGATACCCAACAAAAGTCTCTTTAATACAAGAGCACATCATGGAGTTTATTTGCAGCCTATTTTTTCATTATGCAAGCCAAAGGAGATAAAAATGAAGCTCTTGTGGCATATTTGAGCATTTTAAAGTGGACATTTGGAGGGTATCACTCAGCAGTGATTGGTTTGTTCCCTTGGTAACATGGTTACCATGACTGCAGCTCTTTGTTTTTAAACCAGTCTCTCAAGTTCAAGCACTGCTGGAGACACTATTTATCACCACTCATACTGTGAATATGTTTTTAAATGAGGCCGCTGACTCAGTTTAACCAGTGGAGCGGGTGCCCAGATGAGGCAGATCCAGCATTGAACAGAGCTCCACCTCTCTCCAGCCCCATTATGTTTCCAACCCTACTGACATTTAAAGCCATCCACTTCAACTGATCCCCCTTTAGAAACACTCACAAAGGTGCAGCCTCAACCAGACCAGCTCACCCAGGTGTGGGATCAGTCTATGTTTACAGCACGGACAGTAAAAGTTTATGATCTTGAACGTTTAGAAAAAGCCGTCCCAAAACAAAACTTGATCTTCTTCTTTTAGAAACATGGTTATTATGAACATCCACCTTGAAATAACTGCTCAGAACTTGAAAGTGAAGATGTTACCTGTCTGTCTCTAGGCAAGAAACTAAATTTAAAAGAATAAATGGGCAATTGCTGCAAAGGGGAATCTTTTTTCAGATATATTTGTTGCATTATTTGTTGGATGGAGGCCGTACATGTTTACAATGCACATTTTAGGTAATTTCTGTTGTGAAGCATTTTAAATTCTTGATTGGGTAGTGATAAAATGACAGAAAATAAAAGAGGACAAAAAAATGCTAGGACAGTTCATATATCAAAGAAGAAAAGACAGACTATATTTTAAAGTTTAGAAAATAAAGTAAAATGAGTCCTTAAAGATGCACTATTGCAATGTGGAACACTTAAAAGTTTACCATTCTGTTACATTTCAATCATCATACATTTTTATCATGACACTTGGTCACTGTAAAGAGGTTTTCTTTCAGCTGCTTCCCAGAGGATTTTCTCTCTTACTTTAAGTTATTGTCAGAAACTCCCTCGTCTTTCCCGTAACTGTTATTGGCAGACTTTTGAGGAAACTCAGTTAAAAAAAAAAAGCTCAAGTGAGTGCATTTCCAAGATGTTAATGAATCTTTAAAGGAACTTAATTTCCTCATTCTTGTAATTCTATTTTTACCAACAAACCACAATGAACTGACCCAGAGGGGAAGAAACACAGAGACTAAATAGACATAAGGTAATCAGACACAGGTGAGACTAACAAGACACAGGTGAAGACAATCAGGGCAATCACACTGGAGGGAAAACACACAGAGGCAGGAATAAAAAACAAGAACACTGAGGACAACTACAAACTAAGTCATGAAACACTAAAGAACTCAAGAAAGTAACAAAAACACACTAGAACATAAAGAAACACCAGGGTACGAAGTTACAAAATAACACACAAAACACTAAAGACTAAACTATGAAACATTAGGACAAAAACACACAAGAGAAACAATCAACACTAGGATAAACAGGAGAAATCAAAACATGGAAACCCAAACGCCGAAACCCAAAACCAAACAAGACCAAATCATGACAGAGATAAGCCTGCCACTTCTTAATGCATTTATATATCACTTTAGTATAACAGATCCATCCTCCACAAGTACTCTTGACCCCAAAACCCGGTTCATTTGATTATTGTGAACACAAACCTATACCGTACTTGTACTGTCCTATGTGAGTCCGCTTGAAGAAGTGTACTTGAAGAGGTTTGTGTACTTTTGGTGTTCATTGAAGTGGTTATTGCTGCAGTGAAATAATAAATCTTTTTCATTGATTTTGATAGTTTTTCTCTACTTTGTTTCCTTGTGTTTTTCTGATCATTTGTCATTTTGTTTTGTCTGAAAAGCTCAAAAGCTACCCGACCACTCCAGCATGATAACACAATCCGAAGTTACATAAAAACGAAACCTGAAACATGGTGTGTCCACCCACATGCAGACACACCTCACCACGTCTCTGCATGCTGTTGAAAGTATATTAAGACATCTTATCACATAGAGAAGACATGAATCATGAGCATCTGCCCAAATCAACACTAACTTGTCTATGAAATGTCTCTGAGGTAAAGATGAAAGATTTTCGGCATGCTGAGCCAAAAAAACAAATCGCTATTTCTTAATTAATCTCCATTACTTTTCCACATTTAGAAGAGGCTTCATTTCACATCACTTTTGTGTCAGAGGAAGAGGGATGAGTGCACAGCCTCAATTATTCTCCACCAGTGTGAGGGTGGTCTTAATGTCTGCCCTTGCCTCTTTAGGGCTGAGTGTTTGAATAGGACTCGGCTGATGGAGTAAGAGTGTGTAGGAGGAAGACACGGTGAGCGGTGAGGAGGTGGCAATGATGGACAACAGGAGAAGAATAGAGAGAATTGGCTGGTTTATAAGAAGGAGGGGAGGACAGAGTGACTCATAGGCAGCGAGCGGCTGATAGAATAGTAAACAAACCTGCCTGTGGAGGTGCTCGAAATATAGGGGACTTCTGTTTCCATGGTTGCTGTCCACCACACTCAGGTGCTTCTGGGCAAAAGGATTTCTTCACACACACACACACACACACACACACACACACACACACACACACACACACACACACACACACACACAGTTTAGTTTAGTTTAGCTAGTGATGGGTAAACAGACTGCCTGGTTTTGTCTACAGGTTAAAGAATTTGCCTACATTTAAAGTTTACAAATCTACAAGTGATAAAACCATTTTGTGTATTTGTGTTAAGCGTAGCTAACCAGTAACAGGGAAATAATAGCTTAACCCCACTCAGTATTTGTGCTAAGCTAACCAGCTGTAGCACTGATAATAACTGAGGAAAAGAAAAGAACACTCTACCCCAAAACAAACAAAAAGACAACAACTATTTCTTGTATTAATAGCGTTGTTAAAAAAAATAAAAGATTGCGATGAATCACAAAATTAATGCAATAATTTAATTGGATGTTTGAAATGCCATTATTTTGCGTTTCTAAATAAAATTGTTAGGCCATTACGTTGCATTTCTGGACTGTCATAAGCTGAGAGATTTACTTGCTGTTTGAATTAAACTTGCTTTTATTTTGGAATAAAGTAAGGACCATCAGGTAGATGAAAGGTTACGCCATTCACTTAACTACAGAAAAAAGAAATCATTACATAGCAAAAACTTAAGTAAAACAGCTCAAAGGGCGGTTTCAAAGTGAAATGTTTGCTGTCATAAGGTGGATATTACCTTTTGACTCGTCATCTGAGCTGTCTGGAAGTGAAATGAGACATTTAAAGACGTAGCGGTTTCATTCTTTTCAATCACCGTGACTACAGGGAGACACTGCGGACGCTTATCCACGGTGCTCCTGAAGGAACAAAATATAATGCCATTAATCTTGATTAAAGATGCCCTTTGGAGATTTTGTTAGTGAAATTTGAAAGTTGGAGAAGTGAAACAATTCTATGCAATATTTTATGAACTGAATACACAAAAAGTTACTCAAAGGGAACAATGGGTCCCTGGAACACTGTTTGGAGCTAAAAAGCTACCAGGAGAGTTACTGTTTCACTGTTCCGGGCCCCCCTACCATAACTACTCATATATGATTTTATCTTAAACAGTGTTCCAGGGACCACATTTTCATCTGAGGACAGTTTGTGTATGGCGTTATGAACATATACCACATAATCTGTACATTTCTTCACATTTCTCTACCAAAACTAGATAGTACACCTTTTAAAAAAAATAATGCAATAATTTCAGACCTTAGTTAATCATGATTTTCTGGTTAATGCTGACAGTCCAACTTGATGTAGAATGGTTTGGAAGTGGCGAGGCGGGCTCTTGAATTGCAACATGTTGCTACAGTCATCAGTTGGTAAATTGGGAATTGTTAGATGAGCAATCGCTTACACCTTCTAAGTTCACTAATCAATGAGTTATTGTAGCTGTTGTAGCATTTGTGCTTAGGGAAGCTAACAGGCTACTGGATATCAAATTACTTTGTTCTTTTTATAGCGCATGGAAATGGATGGTACTGATGAACTGAGCCAGAGTAATAAATGATTTTTCTCAAGAAGAGAACTACTTCTTTTGCTTTAATTTGAGTATGGCAAGACAATAATTTGACTAATAGCTACACCTTAGTCATATTGTAATCTAACGTTTGAATATGTGTGTTAGTATTGTATTGTGAGTATTTCTTTTATAATGACCTGTCTGACTTGTGTGTCCTGTTTGTATGCCAGGGTGAACTGTAGTTTCCCTTCTGGTGATTAATACAAATATAGTTTTGAATTAAGTTATCGGGTTTTATCACCCAAGGTTGTTTTATGCTAAAAATGACCTCACTTTTTACCTTATTCTTTTTCACCTTATTCTATAAAATCTAACACAGAGTCATGTACATAGTACACCTACGGAGTTGTTGCATATCTTCCATTCACTGTAACTCCAGAGAAAAGGAGTCATCCAGTCACATACTTGTGAAGTGGAACCACTGAGGGCCAAAATTAGTAGCTATGACAGCGCACATGAGCAAGTCTCTTTCTTCCTTCTTCTACATTCTTCTTCTGACCTCATTAACCACATCCTCCCTCCATCTGCACAAGAGAAGTCCCAAAGGAAAAACACAGTCACATTTTGTCTCTGGAAATTTATAATCTTTATTACATTGCACTTCTTTTTAGATACAGTTCATACTTCACATTAAAAAACATTTATACATTAAAAAATAACTTAATATAAATAAGAAATAAATAAACAAACAAAAAACAAATAAGTGCGAGGGAGTCTTTCCCAGTTGTAGTTTTGTTGTCTCATTTAAATCTCTGCATTTTTATAATTTATGCCACTGTGGCCGCCCCTCATGCAACCCTGTATGTACAGTACAGGTGTCTCTTTTAGAGGCAGACATCGCCTGCAGCTCTGTCTTTTTCAGTCTTTTCTCACAGCTTTGTGTCTCCATTATCTTCTCGCCTGGGCTCCGATCTGTTTGCCAACTCAGGTCTCCAAAAGGGCCTCCATAACCCGGTTCCAAAGTCTGCAGACTGAAGTTTTTGTTCCTTGTGAACCCTTCCAGTCTCCACTGTATGCCCGTAAGTGTATGTCCCATTCAGGAGTCATCACATCTTGTCTGCTGTTTGCAGAACACGTTGTTTAAATATATATATATTTTTTTAGTATGTCTTGGTTTTTCTGCTGACTTCTAGGTATGTGGATGACTTAAGGAAGCGGGGATAGCAGTCCTTCTCCATCAGGGTGTAGATTTTTGCCTGGGCCAAGTCAAAACAGGACTGTCCAGGGTGCTCCATGTTCTCCTTTGTGATAGCTTTGGTCAAATGGTCGAGATTTATCTGTTAGGGGAACAGAGGAGGTAGAGAGGTGATTATCAGGACTGAGCAACAAGTTAAGAAAAGAAAGCAGAGTGATAAAGCGTCCTAAGTAATCGTATAATGTTTTTGGTATTCACCTCTCGAGGTGCATCAGTGGCAATGAACTCGTCATAAATTCTCTTGGCTTTGCTGGCTTGTTTGGAGGACTTTGTTGCTTGGTAGTCCTCACAAGCCAGGTAGAAGGCGATGTTTTCCTCACTGAACTCTGAGACCAGGAACGCTCTGAACAGGCACAGTCCATCTGGAAAAAAGAGAGGGTAAAAAAGTTAACATCTGGTATTCATCACAAACATCTGCAATGATTGAAAAATTGCATCAAATGTCATGTGAGGTCTTACTTTGACTGGACAGGAGCTTGTCAAAGGACTCCTTCCATTTCAAGGGCTCGTCCACATTTAACCTGCTGTTACAGGAAAAAAAAATCATTAGGAGAAGTTCTTTAAATCACTGTTTTGCACTTTAATGAGACTGACACGCTTAAACTTAAAAAGTTAATTCAAATGTTTGCCTTACCTCAGTTTGTCATTTTTCTTTGCCTGGCCGGTGATGCTTTGTTCTGACTTGTGTAGTAAACTTCCAAACAACGCTTTCAGCTCCTTTGCCCTGAAAAAACAAAAGAAAAAGAACAATGTTATTCATACATTTTAAAGGAAATGATGTCCAGGATTTTTACAATATAAGTAAGTGAATATAGTTGTGATCAAAAGTGGAGAAATGTCATAAAACCCTCACCTCTCCAGGCAGGTGATAGGCAGTGCATCCAGTCCTCTGCACATGATGAGATGTTTTTTCTTTCCGTTAGAGGATATTTCCAAAGGTTAGGACGTTGCCTAGTCGAGGATATAGTGTTCCAGAGCTTTTCTGCCTTGCTGGAAGTGAGTGAGTGAGCTCTCAGCTGGTCTGCCGTCTGTGTGGCAGAGTGACTCTTTATAGGGCAGTCGACTCTGTGACATCACGCCTCTCAGCCAATCAAAGAAGACGTGTGGGATGATGAGGCGACTCCTCACTGAATGAACACTGATTTTCCTCCAGACAACTTCCTCACTATTAAAACACATGTGTGATAGTTATGAAGACGGAATTACTTCACAACTCTTCAAGGTCCTATTGCTCAGAAAAGGGTTTTGTGTGTGGTTGGGTGTGTGTGTGTGTGTGTGTGTGTGTGTGTGTGTGTGTGTGATTATGTTCTTACGTTATTCTTGTGAGGAGACCATGATGTATTCACAAGGACAGAAAATCCTCTAAAAAAGGACCTTCTAAAAAGCAGTGTTTACAGCTTTGTGCTATTGCTTTTTTCAAGATTATGTTGTTTTGAAGTTTTATCAAGACTTTTATGGATTTAAAGATTTAGAATTACTATTTAGAATTATATGTCTCCATCCAGAAGATATAATTGATTTTCATTTTATTAGATAAAAGCATATACTGTAACAGTATTTGGTTAATATAGTTCCCAGTGGACATAAACTATAAACATAAACAAAGTACTTATATATATATTTATACTTGTATATATATACATTTTTTTTTTTCATTGATTTATTGACATGAAGTTATTGAACTACTTTAAGTTCTCTCAACATTTCTGACATGTAGGTTTGTTTAATATCATCATATTTCAGACTGAACACATGATAGCAAATTAACCATTGGACTTAGCTGTCAAACAAAAAGTCCCATAATTACAGGCAGGAAGTAATAAGAAATAAGCATATAATGAATCTGCGGCTGTAGTCCTCAATGCGAGCGGCCCTGGTTCCACACGGACCCTCTGTACTTGTCATGCATGTCATAACCCAGTCGCTTAGCCACATCCCTGTTTCAGACTCAAATAAAATCAAAATGAATCAGAGGCAATGAAGCTGCAACTGTTCCTTTGGGGAGTCTTATTGGGTAAGTAATATTACCTGTGGAGTGGCTATGACACAACAGAACGATTATTTTTAACTCCAAACAACTCAAATTTCTTGATTTAGGTTAGTGTAATACTACTGCTAACAAAAAAAAAAGCTGTGACTGTCAGAGACGCAAAATGAACACACAGAAGACACATTTTTTGCGTGGTATGTTACAGTTCTGTTTCACACACACAAAAACATGTTTACTGTATCATTAGTGCAGAACTATTGCTGTGCAAAATGAAAAAACATTTGAAGGTATGATCAAATGAAATCTTGTAGAAAAAAGACAACATGACAAATGTATGACCGGGATTTTGTTTTGTTTTGAAAATCACCTTTTGAATTTGACAACAGCAACATGTTTTAAAGAAGTTGGGACAGGATCATGTTTACCACTCTTTTTCTTTAAACAACACTTTGTATGTGTTTTAGAACTGAGGGGAATGATTTCTGTCACTTTGGAAGTGGAATGTTTTTTTTATGTAGGATTTTAGGTGCTCACCAGTTCAGGGTCACCTTTGTCATATTTAACTCTTCATAATAAGCCAAACATTTTAATGGGTGGGATGATTCCAAAGTAAATCTAATCAAACTTGTCAAAGGCTACAAGTACTTGGGTTTTCTTATTGACTGTGAGCTGTCTTTTAAAGCTCATATCGACAAATTGGCCTCTAAACTCAAGCTGAAGTTGGGATTTTATTTTATTTTTATAAAGAAAAGAAATAAAAATGTCAGTTTAGCTCCCTGACTCTGTTAAACTTGAGTCACACAAAGTGCTGCACTGTTCTCCCAGTGCTCCTCTAAATGGTTCAAAGTGTATTTTCGTGTTTTGTGCAACAATGAGTTTTGATCAAATTTTAAATCAAAATTTGACGACAGATGAGAGGTTAATATTTTTGCTGTCAGTCAAATCTTAACCATCACCACACATTGTTTGATCCTTTATACAGTTTGAAATAAACACAAGATACAGTACATGTGCCCTAATGAAAGTAAAGTGCTCAGTGAAGAAACCCCGGTTTCCAGTCATGCCTTTATGCCCTGATAAGTTACATAACCAACCTCATGGTCCTTTGTTGTCATAGCAACCCAACAGCATTGCTACCTTTAACGGACCAAGGTTCCGGTTCTGTGAGCTTGCCAGGTCGTGATACCCTATGCCCTGAAATACCTAAAAGGTGAACATTTGTCATGGTCCTAACTGGAGTTTAAAGAGGATGTTAAATGTAACAAAATAATGTAAAAACACAAGAACATCATTAATGACAAAAAGCAGCATAAAAATAAGAAAGGAAAAGAAACAGCAGGGAAGTAGAACAAAATAAGAACACAGACAATTCATGAACCCTCCCTAAACAGCTCACACAAATCAATTTCATTGCTATTCTGTCGGCCTAAATGTCCCACATTTACATCCTTATTAACCTCATTGAAGGATTTCTGCTAGAATAAATACAGGTCCTCACAAATACAGTAAAATAAAGTGTGTCATAAGGACAAGGTTACACAATCTCTGGACAATCGTTTTGATCCCTTGACTTCCTTCCAGGCTTGCCCAAGCAAAAATAATTGTGCCTATAAAAAGCCTGAAGGTGGAGAAGTCTATTCTGTATTACTTAAAAAAAACATCTATATTTAGAGCAGACAGAGAGCCAGCTAACAGTAAACTTTGCTAATGAGTAATATCTCAGGAACTTCTTGGGGAATTGTTCCAGAGAGGAATAATCAGGCGGCTGGATAAGAAAATGTCAAAAGTGTCTGAGCAGACTTCCTGTGCAGGTAGCCACAAACAATACATCACATCGAGCCAGCCGCTGTGTCCGACACACAGCTCTGTGTCAGCAGCAGGTCACTGGCAGAGGTTGAAATAATCATAATAATAATAATAATAATAGAGCTGGTTATTGTCCACAACCTCACAATTCAATTCCATTTCAATTCTTTGGGTTCACGATTTGATCAATATGCTTCGATATCGAGTTAATAATACGTATAAATGACAGAAATACCCAGATATTCTTATCACAGTACCTTCTGATATTTGTTAAATAGGAATATGTGCATTATTTGTATTGGTTTAGAACAGACTGACTCAAAAATTATTTTAGTTGCATTATTCTTTAATAAACAAAGAATAAAACATTAAAGTACAGTATGCGGAAGTACAGTGGCACCCACAGTGCCCCCACTGGAGTGGGGCATCCTTACAACAGAAATAATCAATCTCAGGATTTCCTGAATCGATATTGAATTGGGAAAAAAGTAATTCATTGATGAATCAATATTTTTAACCAGCCCTACTATATAATACAAGAATGTAGATTAAATGATGTGACCCATCACTGCATCTGTTTTTTTCTGTTCTTTACACCAAATAGTTAAATGATATAACTGAACCCTTCTCCAAGTGTTATTATCTACACTTAGTTAAACGTCGGATGAAAGGTCTATAAAAATGCCTGTGACCATTTCTGTTATTTCTCATTGCTGGAGTTTTTGTTGCAGCTGAATGAATATGTTTTTAATGATGGTGTACAGTCGAATATTTGCCTTGAGGTGATTAGATTTTGTTGATATTCCCTCTTTTGTTTCTTCCTCTGGTTTAAGTGAAGTAAAAGATGCAAACTTGCTTTATTTGTGATCATTTTTGTATTTAAAAATGTACAAAATAAGAGCATCATATGTTACACGTTTTCCATTTCCTTCCCCCCACCCCCCTAGAGCTCAGACATACATGTACAAAAGCGGATTTGTGCAAACGTCAGGATCCATCAAACTAAAGGTGCAAACGTACTGAACGACCTGAGCAGTTTTATTGAGTAGAAAACACTGAGGCTTCAATTGTAATATTTTTATTACACACTTTTGACAGTGATTGATTATTATTTTTATAGTTATGAAAAAAACAGAATATTCTGCCATCATTTCCTTTTTTCCTAGGTATCTTCTCAAATGTATTTTAATTCACTGCCGGTGACGCTTTTCCAAAATTTTATCATTGTTGTAATTTGATAACATTGTGAGATCAAACAGTTAATTACTTATTAATTCAATATGTTTCTTTTAACAATTCAGTGTAGGAATCTGTGCCTTTACATTTAGACTGTATCTTTACATTAGACATTTGTCTTCATAATGCTACCTCATTGTATTCAAACATCTAATTCAAATGCAAATCTCTCCTGCTGAGCTGACACACTTTCTTTAAAACGTAGTGAAGAATGAATACAAACATCAGTAGTTTTCCTAGTTTCTGTGTTATCCAACAACAAACAAGTCCATTCAGTTGTGTGTTTCCTTTATTGATCAAGCAATCTGGGTCAGCCAACAAAGGCATGAGTAACATGGCTAATGCAATTACACACATATTCAGATATTACGTGTCAATCTTGTCAGGCTAATAGGACATGTCATAATAGCTCAGTGTAATAACACTTAATACAAATTAGGTCATATTGTGCAACTTGAACAACATGAAGGTGACACAACATTTTCTGACTCAGCATTCATCCCTTTATAGTCGTCTTCTTTTGTTATGAGGAAAAGCCTAGAAAATATAATTTGGATCATTTCAAGGATTGTGAGTGATATTTTTTTATTAGGTCAATTTGAGAGAAATTGGGTTTCAACATGACACACTTAGAGCAGAGTTTGGATTTTTTTTAAGGAGGGTTGTATGAGGCACAAAAATCTGGGCCTGTTTGTATACATTATTTCTGATACTGATGAAGGTTAAAATTGGTGGAACAAAATAGAACATTGACTCAAGTAATAATTCCTCATTTTCTTTTGATGTACTTGAACTTTCCATTTCATGTGTTTTTCCATTTCACACTTCCAAATATATGTTCTCATTTTAAGGTCCTGACACACCAAGCAGACACCCAAGAGCCCCCCACTTGTATCGAGGAAAGACTGTGCCCCTCCCCCCAAGACCAACACAAAAAAGTAATACATTCATGTCAAAAATAAACATCAATTTTA